ATTCCTAAACGATTGTTTAGATATAAAAATTTATGAAATTTCAAAAACTAACAAAATTAAAAAGGACTTGTGGAGAAACAGTTTTATACAGATGGACTGTACCACTACCACTCCTCCTACCAGATAGCTTACGCTTCTTTTTCCCCGAACAATCACCACCGACTTTCTTACCCATTTTTTTTCCGGTTTTGCCCCTGCAACAATTGTATCCATTTTTTCCAATCTTCTAGTGTGCCTGTGTAGTCAACAACAAAGAACCTTGGTCAAAGCATCAGTCAACTAAAACCTATTTGCACCTTTAATCAAATTGTTATTTTAGATAAATTATCAGTAACAATTTTTAAAATTATTGCAATCACTTTTGGATGTTGTGAAAAAATCACAATCATGTCAAATACTATTCAAAAGTGACAACTATTTCATAAAATAAACGAAAAAGCACAATTTTAGACATTATGCATAATTTATGTCTTTGAGAGATGACAAATAAGAGTTGATAAAAGAGTAAACTAACCTTTCCAGCACCTACTGCTTTCTGACAATTGTTTATTGTTTTTCTTGAAAAAGAATTTCCTCCTCAAACTTTTCACTACAATTTGAAGTCATTATAATTAAAAACTAAAAAATGAAAATGTAAAATGAATTATGGAAATGGAAATTAAAGTCCTTATACCTTTTTCACATCAGAAGCTGAAATCAGTTCACCTTTAGGATGTCATCGACCCTCAGGTTTCTTGGCTTCAGGGTCACAAATGAAGTGTTTGTCATGTCAAGTTGGCTTAGTTCTAGTTAAAAAGTTGATTTTCCTTCTACACCGAAGGGAACATATGTTGGTGGATGTTGTCAGCAAGAAAAGGGGAAATCCAACTAAAAAATTGATTTGAGAACATGAAGAACAACATGAATCAAAATTAAATGCACTTGAAGAAACAATTTTGTACCTTAATTTGGAAGTATTGTGACAAATTGGTTGTGTGGCTGCTCTAGCCTCCTTTTTGGGCGATCGCAAAAGTGAATGGAAACAATGGAGGGCAAAGGGGACACTGGAAGTTAAGAATATAAACAATTATTTCAGCTTCAACAATTGAAATGGGTAAAACCTTTGTTCTCATATTGGTTGGTGGACATTTTTGCCCATATCAACACCAAATGGTGTGTGTGCGTGTTAAGTTAGAATCTGCAGAAAACAAAATTAGAATTGATTTAAAGTCGTAAATGAACTGAAAAAATTATCAATTTTAGTTTGAATTTGTAGAAAACGAATTCAGAAATTAGAAAAAAGGAGAGGGACGACGTTCCAGAAGAGAAGCCATCTCGTTCCATAAGAGCATGGCGTCAACCTCTGTATGTGCTTCAGCCAAATACCCTCTTTGCCCCTTTCCTGCTTTAAATCCGGTGGGTTTGAGTTTATAAAAGAAATAATAAAGAAGAGAAATAGAAATCAGACATGTAGAAGAGAAAATAATCAACGAAACTTGGGAATTTACAGCATAGAAAGAGGGTCAAACGGCGTTGAAGATGAAAAAGAAAGAGAAGGTACCTGTGACGATTTTTTTGCAGGTCGGTTGAACTGGTAATCGAAAGGTTGGAGAAGTTTTTTGGGTTTTTTGAGATAGTAGACTTACAAGCGTAGGTGAAGGATCAAAAAGTGTGACATGTTGAAACGTCAACCATCTATGGAGAAGGTACCTCAGTGACACTTACCCTATCAAAATTATTCAAAAATCAAACAGTAATGAAAAATGGTGGATCAAAAAGTGAGACATGTTGAAACGTCAACCATCTATGGCCCCTCAAATCTTTCTAATTTGGCATTCTTGCACCTCAGCCTAACTGATTGCTCTGTTTTGATCGTAATTAAATAAAATTAATAAGATGTGATGCAAAAAGAGAAGCTTAAACTTTTATAAGCGTGTATGTGGCATTTGTACAAACAGTTTGTGTGCCTGACTGGAATTCTATTATGGTCATTAGTGAGACTCATAATGGTAATTTTATACAATTGATTCACTGCTCCCGAAACTTGGAGCCCTACGTACTTGCTAGAACACAAAAACAAATCCCTCTTTGAGAGAAATCAAGAACAAAACACATAGAGTGTAAATGCAGAAACGAATGCAAGAAGGAACATACCTTCTTCCTTGAGTAAAGCCAACATTAAGGGAATATCCATTGAAATTTAGCAAGGTGAGAGCACCAACAATAACATCTTCTGCAACATAAGTGGTAGTGAAGTAAGAAAAAATGGGGCATACCAGTATAAGTAAGAACGATTTGGCCAAAATAGACGAACCAATAGTGAACGGTGAGCACCTCACTTTAGAATACGTTCCAGTGTGGTGGTTTAAGGATGTTCACCAAGTCGCAACATCCAATCTATTTAGAAACTGAGAAGCCCGAAGACGGAGAAGAAGCAAGGGAGTGAGCCGTCGGAGACGGTCGATTGCGCTCTTTGATCTCTGTTTATCTCTCTCTCTCTCTCTCAAACAATCGAAAAGTTAATTTGTGATGGTAACCTAAAAAAGGAAATTCATTACCTGATCGGAGAGATGGCGGCGGTTGAGAATGGAGATCGGAAGCCGAGTCTTTCTGTGATTGATTTGCAACGAAACGATTCAATCACGGTTCTTCACAAAAAGACTAAAAGAGGAGAAGAAGAGGGATAGAAGCAGGCCTTAGAGGAGAAGCGGAGGAGGAGTAGTTCTTGATGTATGTCGATGCTTTAAGAGATAGACGGTGGGTTTTGGAACCAATGGAAATTCTTTAATGTGTAGAAAGATGAAGCGGTGATGTGCAGAAAGATGGAGCGGTGGACATGTGGCTAATATTTGTATGTTTTTGATTGGAAGTAGAAGCGGTGGAGGGAGACGATTACAAAAACTTTGTACGAAATAACATTTGCTACCCAGAAGAGAAAGTAATCCACAATATGAGATACCATCATAAACCAAGGACAAATTCTGTCAAAAAAACACATAACTGTAGCTAAGAACACACAATTTTAATATATAGTATAATTAGTTTATAGGAATATAAAAAAAAAACACATAAGAGAGGCAATGATCGTATCCATAAAATAGTTTGATTATAAGTAATTTGACTAAAAGTTAAGAATCAATTACATGGATGGTATGAAAAAAAATATTTACGTTTAGAGTAAATTACATAAATGCTCCATGTGGTTTGGTTTTATTCTCATTTTTTGGTATTTAAGTTTAAAATTTGATAGATGATATGTTTATGGTTTGTGAAAATTGCATTACAGGTCCTTGGTCTATTTAAAATACCAAATTAACATTTTTTTTTCTGTTTTATATATATATATATATATATATATATATATATATATATATATATATATATATATATATATATATATATATAAAGCTGTAAAAATCGCTCGACGTTAGCTAGTTGGTGGACTGGGTTAAGGGATTAATCGGCTAGGCGGAGATTAATCGGGGACCATTAATTGCTAATTCGTTAGATTTAAAAAAAATTAAATATGACTAATATCATATAAAAGTTCATAAATACCACTAATATCATCACAAAATAGGTTAATATGATAAATACAATACTAATCATACCTCAAATAGTTTCTATTGAGATATAACTTCTTCAAAGTATTAAAATTTAATCGGATTCTACTGTTTCAATCATTTTGTATACATGGATTAATCACTAAGCGCTTTCTAATCGGTCAAGTAACGCCTAGGGATTAATGGGGATCTAATCGGGATTTTTACAATACTGATATATATATATATATATATATATATATATATATATATATATATATATATATATATATATATAAAATTATTTTGACTTTTTTTTTTCAATAAACAAATTAAAACAATAACCCGAATAACTATCAGTCTTCCAATAAAATAATATTTGTTTTTTCTCTTTCTTTAACGATATATATATATATATATATATATATATATATATATATATATATATATATATATATATATATATATATATATATATATATATATATACTTTGTTGTTTTTTTTTAATAGTTATACGAAAAAAGATATATATATTTTAGACAATAAATAAAGAAGCACTGACATATAAACAAATGATTTTGTTCATGTTCGTTTAACAAAAAAACGAACACGAACGAACAAACGAGCTTGCGGTGTTTGTTAATCTACGTGTTCGTTCATTTAAGTTAGTCGAACAAACAAATGAACACAAACAAATAAACGAACGAAAATTTCTTTTTTGTGTTCATTCATTTAACAAATTATCTTGTTCAAGTTTGTTCCTTTATGTTCGTGAACATATTAAACGAACAAAGATAAACAAACACAATTGAATATATATTAACATAAACGAACATATAATATGGTAATATATAATAAAAAAAATGAACATAAATAAATTAAACGAAAGAACATAAATGAACATCATAAACGAACGTTCACAAAAATAAATGAACGAACAAGAACATTATTCATGTTTGTTCGTTTAACTAAACGAACGATAAATTTTTTTCATGTTCGGGTTATTGATTTAATTTGTTTGTTTGTTTGAAAAAATGTCAAAAACTCATTATTTATTTAAACGAACAAAACGTGTAACAATCCGGAAATCAGGGGTAAAAATTTCATTTTTAAGATAACCCAAACATAGACACCATTTATTCCAAACATTTCAAAACATTGTTAACTAAAAACATTTATCAGAGTTTGTCCCAAAATCATTCGTTGTGGAAAACATATGTGTGTGCACTACGATCAAGCTAAGCTATTCATTTCCAAAACCATGATACCTGAAACCATACAAAAAACTGTAAACACGAAGCTTAGTGAGTTCCCCAGAGCATTCCCCACACAATCCACATAACCATATAATCCATATCAACTATAACAACTACATAAATAATAACAATCGCATAAGCATGCCTATAAACATATAAGGATGCCCTGGAAACCCTCTAGGGTCTTACACCGGGTGCCATGGGAACCCTCCAGGGTCTTAGCCCACTGCTATGGGACCCCCCATATGGTTTTCAATAACTACCAATCAAACCATACATGCAAACATATAAGCTAAACATGCAAGCATATAAGGATATCCTAGAAACCCTTTAGGGTCTTACACCGGGTGCCATGGGAACTCCCACATGGTCTTAGCCCAATGCCATGGAAACCCCCACATGGTCTTAACTAAGGATGTTTTGGAAACCCTCCAAGGTCTTACACCTCAGTGCCTCGGGAACCCCCCGAGGTCTTTTCCTAGGATGTCGTGGAAACTCTTCACGGTCTTACACCTAAGTGCCCCGGGAACCCCCTGAGGTCTTCCATGCAAGTATCACAAAGACAACTAGCATATCACATACCACAGAGTCAACTAGCATACCACATAATCACTACCATACTCCCTATCACATAACCAACTAACATGCCACATAATACAACTTCAATTTGTGTATCACATATCATAAAATGGGTCGACATTGGTGCCTTCGACCCATTGGTATGGTGAGGAGACTCACCTGGCACTGCTGAAGTCTCGCGGATGCAACTCCAGCTGTTGGTTGATAGATTCCCAAACTACCAACATCAAACAACACCCAATTAATAGTTGGGTCCCAAGCCCAAGGTCCAACTCACACTCCAAAGGCCCAATATTCAAGTAATTGGCCAAAACCCAACATATGGCCCAATTTTCCAAATTGGGCCCAAACCTTTACATAGTCTCATTCAAAGGCCCAACCATTTAGTCCGGCCCAAACATTTGACATTTCTAGTGGCCCAATATCTCATAATCATCAAGGCCCAAACTATGACCCATCTATGGCTCAATTTTCCAAATTGGGCCCAAGCCTCTCTAATGGGTATTATCCTGAAGCCCAATAATTTCCCTTAGTCCATAAATATGTTCCCAATTGGCCCACAAATGGCCAAAACAGCTTATTACAATAAGTGGCCCAACAAGCATCCAAACCCAATTAGGGTTAAGTGTTCTACTTAATCCATTAAGTCCAAACATACAATGAAATCGGACTTGATTCATAACTCCACTCCAATGGTCCAAAATGCGGGTCCCGATAAGTCCAGGCCATTAATCCCAAAATTAGGTTTTCTAAACCTTAATTAGGGTTTTCTACCTAATAATTAACCCAATAGGCCCAAAACTAAGTCCTCATATCAATTAGGGCCTCATTAGGCCCATTAGGGTTTCACAAAGTGGGGACCACCCACTACCACCTCGGGTAATGGTGGTCAACGGCGGCTCGTGGCGACGGCCACCACCTCGCGGTGGTGATTATGAGTTTTCTTTTATTTTTATTTCGGACACCATTTACAATTTACAATTCAATAACACACACACACACACTAATATAAACATACACACACAACCACCCTAGTGGCGGCCGGTAGTGGCACATGATGGCAGCTACCACCTCACGGTGGTGGCCGTGGCTTCCTTGGTTTTCCGACTAAATAGAACACACACAATACACACTAACGATGGAAAGCACACCCACACACTTGTTTTGGCCGAAACAGGAGCACATCTACCCTTGTGGTGGCATTTGGTGAAACCAGCAACACGGAAAGGCAGCGACAACGGTGTTTTGCGATGACAGCCACCACCTCACAGTGGTGGCGGTGGTTTTTTTGGTTCTCAGTCAAGCAGCCACACCAACGATAGGGTGACTACCCAACCCTCATTTACACATTGTTGCTCGGACATAAATACAACCACCCACCTCACGGTGGTGTACGAAGAAGACATCGCCATTGGAAGGCGGCCACATCAGCTTCTAATGGCGGTTCACAACCCTCATTCGCTCTGCGTTCCGTCGCTGGCCTTTGGTGGACACCCCGGATGTACGCTGCATTCCCGACAACGGTGGTGTTGCTACAATGGCGAGATAACAGTGACAAATGCGGGCTTTCATGGTGGCGGCGACCAGAAGTGAAGAAGGAGGTGGCGGCTGTTAGAAGAGGGAGGCATAAGGGTGGTGCGGCTGAGTGTTCTAGGGTTAGGGTTTCGTTGGCCTTATATACCCGGTCACCTAAACTTATTTCCATAATGGCAGAAATTGTCCCTCCCCATAACATTTTCTTTAAATCTTAATCTAATATTTACCATTTAAACCTGCCCTCTAAAATCTCTTCAAATGAAGTCCAAAAATTACTCCTAAGCCCCTGCTTCGATAAATGCTTTCATTTTAAGACCAAATGATACCACACACACATTGACTTCTAAAAATCTTTACGACATAAATCCTAAAATTACACTTTAACCATTGAAAGTCCAAATTATATAAATTGGCTCCCCGAAAACAACACCCCGCTATTTTTAGGGCTATTATAAAATTAGGGATGAGCGTGGGACAGAACCGGTACTGACCCGTCCCGTTCCCGATTTCTCGAATACCGAATTTGATCAAAATTTAATCCTGAGTACCGAACCGAATTAACATCACCGGTACCGGTATCGGGAATGGTACCGGTACTCGGTACTAGTACCGATACCAATTCCCGAATTTCATGTATTTGGAGTACCAAGTACCGTCCCGTATTTTTAAATTCGGTACGGTTCCAGTACGGTACCGGTACGGGATCGGGATTTGGGACAAACTGTTCATCCCTATATAAAATAGACAAAATTACAAAAATGGTCCCTATGGTTTGCCAAAAGTCACAAAGTCAGTCCCTATTAATTTTTTTTGATGTAAATGGTCCTTGTGGTTTGAAAAACTTGCACGGATGGCCCTTTTTACTAGCGTCATTAGTATTCAGCCGTTAGGGATTGAATTCGTAAGGGTATTTTCGTCTTTTCAAATATAAAGGGACTGAATTTGTGACACTTGGTAAACCATAGGGACCATTTTTGTAATTCGTCTAAAAATAATTTAAATGATTGGAGGAGGATTCGAACTTGGGACATTCTCCCATAATCTCAAACCATCCTATGCCTTATACCAATAAGCTGCAACAAAACTTGGTTTATAGTTCCGAAAAATAAATTATATTATGTAAAATCGGGAAAAAAAAGAAGATAAATAACAAAATAAATTACATTTTTTTACATAATTTTTTTAAATAAAACAAATTGTATTTTACGTATTGAAGAAAAAATAATTTTTTACAATTAGTTTATATATTTTTTTACGTTTTTATTTTACGTAAAATAATTTTTTTACGTATTTAAAAAATACGGTTTTGTAAAATACGTTATTATGTTGTTATAATCTTATAGTATACTTTTACGTTAACAAGTTATGTTAACGTCTTTAATTGGTTTAAAGCAAAACTACAAGTATTTTTTTTACGTAAAAACATTAAGAACATGAAAACATAATGTAAAAAAAATACTTGAATATCCGCTTTAAATCAATTAAAGATGTTAAGATAACGTAAAAGTATATTTTATGATTTTAACGACGTAATAACGTATTACATGAAAATGTATTTTTTAAATACATAAAAAACATACTTCACGTAAAATAAATATATATACAAAAAGTTACACATTTTTTAGGATTTCGTTTTTGTATAATATGTTTTTACGTTTTTTATGTATTTTAAAAGTATATTTTCAATTTACAACGTAATAATTTTTTAGTAGTATTTAAATACATAAAAAAAACGTAATAACATATTATACAAAAACTTAATCTTAAAAATGTGTAATTTTCTTTTATATATATATATATATATATATATATATATATATATATATATATATATATATATATATATATATATATATATATATATATGTGTGTGTGTGATTTATGTTTTTTTTATGTATTTAAAAAATACATTTTTATATAATATATTATTATATTATTAAAATCATAAAATATACTTTTACGTTATGTTAACATCTTTAGTTGATTTAAAGCGAATATTCTAGTATTTTTTTTTACGTTATGTTATCATGTTCTTAATATTTTTACGCAAAAAAATACTTGTAGTTTTGCTTTAATCCAATTAAAGACGTTAACATAATATAAAAGTATAGTATAAGATTATAACAACATAATAGCGAATTCTACAAAAACATATTTTTTAAATACATAAAAAAATAGTTTAGTAAAATAAAAACGTAAAAAAAAGTATAAACTAATTGTAAAATTTTATTTTTTCTTCAATACGATAAAAGTACAATTTGTTTTATTTAAAAAGAATTATGTAAAAAAATTGGAATTTATTTTGTTGTTTATCCTTTTTTGCGATTTTAAGTAATATAATTTATTTTTCGGAATTATAAACCAAGTTTGGATGCAGCCTATTAGTATAAGGCTTAGGTTGGTTTGAGATTAGTGGAGGAGGTCCCAAGTTCAAATTCTCCTCCACTCATTTAAATTATTTTTAGATGAATTACAAAAATGGTCCTTATGGTTTACCAAGTATCAGAAATTCAGTCCCTAACGGCTAAATCGACGTTAGTAAAAAGGGTCATCCGTGACTTTGTTACTTTTGGCAAACCATAGGGATCATTTTTGTAATTTTATCTATAAAATAATATAAATTATAAAAATACATCCTGGAGTTCCAGGTTAATTATTTAATTATTCTATTTCAACTGGAGTGTTAGAAAACATCAAAAAAACAACATTAAAAAATATAGTTAAATAAAACATCAAAAATATTTAAAAAAATTAAACCACAAAAAGAAAGGTAAATAAATAAATAAATAATAATTAATAATAATAATAATAATAATAAGATGATTTTATATAATTTAGAAAATTGATTAAAAATAAAAATAATTTTGCAAATAATCTGCATAAATTCTATTAAAATAAAGATAAAAAACAATTTTATATATATATATATATATATATATATATATATATATATATATATATATATATATATATTGTTAAAGTAAAAAGAAAAAAGAAAGAAAGAATAATATGATCTTGGACTAAGAAACTACAGTGTAATTTTTATAAACTATGTAAATTATCAAATTTTAAACTTGATTAGGGATCAAAACTGAAAATTCAACAAAACCACATGGACCATTTCTGTAATTTACTCTTACATTTATTTTCTTCAAATACAAAAGTGATACCAAGGATTGAAGATGGGAAATGACATAGGAAACTTTAAAATCCACAAAAAGCACCATTTCAAAACTAAATATCTTAAAACCAAAAAGAAATCCATCAAATTTAAAATGGACCAAATGAGAAAATCATGATTATGAACGGCGAAGGCGACATGCATGTGGAGGCTGATATTCAGCAATTACCAACGATAGGTGAAGGTTTGTATCGATTTTGATAATGAGACATGGGGTTTGTTGCTTAACATATAGCTTTCACTTTGATATCCTATTTTAAAAAAGGTACCATAATTAAATATAGCAAAAATTATGATTATATCCTTAAATAATTTATTTATTTAATTATTATTTTATGAATTCTTATTGATCCAGAATCAATAATCATCAAAAACATATAAACATCTCTCTTTATATATATATATATATATATATATATATATATATATATATATATATATATATATAAATATATATATATATATATATATATATAATTTATTTATTTAATTATTATTTTATGTATTATTATTAGTCCTACAACCACACAATAACTGTCAAAAACATATAATCTGTCTTTCTCTCTCTCTCAACATACAATAGTTGTTAAAAACATATAAACATCTATCTCTCTCTCTATATATATATATATATATGTATATATATATATATATTATTTATTATTTTATGAACTCTTATTAGTCCTACAAGCACACAATAGTTGTCAAAAACATATAAATCTCTCTCTCTCTCTCTCTCTTTCTCTCTCTCTCTCTCTCTTCTATATATATATATATATATATATATATATATATATATATATATATATATATATATGAAAAACCTCAGAAAAACCCAGCGTATTTTCATCAAATGCTTAAAAAAACCACTATATTATTTTTTAGTACACTAAAACCCTTATATTTTCGGAAATTCTTATTTAAGGTTTTCTGGCCTCAGAAAAACCTAATATATTTTCATGAAATGACTAAAAAACCATTATATTATTTTGTTTAGTGCATTTGAAACCTTATTTTTTTAAGTTTTTAATGTAAGGAATTGTAACAATCAAAACGTTGAGAATCAATTACCTAGCATTTTCGGCTATCTAAGATATATCGAGCTTGATGCCTTAAATGATACATTTTAAAAAATATAAGGGTTTTAACTTACAAATAAATAATATATTGTTTTTTTTAATACTTTGATGAAAATATGTTGAGTTTTCATAAGATTTTGCTATATATATATATATATATATATATATATATATATATATATATATATATATATATATATATATACAAATAAATGATATATTGGTTTTTTTAATACTTTGATGAAAATATGTTGAGTTTTCATAAGATTTTACCATATATATATATATATATATATATATATATATATATATATATATATATATATATATATATTTCGGTATCGCATGTTTAAATACATTGTCAGTATTACCGGTTTTTAAAAGTTCAATGCTTACCATCCTCATGGTCTTTTTGCTTTTGAGTTGAGATACCGAAAATGTTTGAAAGGACATTTTTTTAATTTCAAAGTATTAACATGAAGTATTAGACAAAATCCTGTCTTAAAATAGTAAAAACATGAATCTTATGTTACCTATGAATATCACATATTTTCTTTATAATGATAACAAAAAATAGTAAAAACATGAATCTTGATTACTCAATAAAAAAAAACATATTTGGTGGGGTTGGCCCTCTACAATTTAATAATAATGAAAAAAAAGAAATGTAATTTAAAGGTATAACCAAAACACAATGAAACCCGCTATAAAGATTTTTTTTATGTTTTATTTTATTTATTTTTGCAAAATAGATTTATTTAGGGAGCAAAACTAAAGAAAATTGTGAGGTGCCATTTTTTCTGTTTAATGTAGGTTTATTCATTTAACTCAAACATAAGGTAGAAAAAGAAAGAAAATGACAAAAGACTTGTTGCTAGTTTATTGAAGAGAAAACCAAAACCTAAATGGAGACTTTGGATCTTTCTTCGGTAGAAGACCTTAACTTATTTGAAACTTGAGAGAGGTGACGTGAAAACTGGGATACTTTGGGGGTGCCTAAAGAAATTATGTGGATCAACTTTGGCCTTGATTCTAATTAACTTCTTAAAATTACCTCTCTTCCAGTACCTCTCTCCCCAAACGCTCGCTTCTTTATAATTAGCATTTCCAACACCCAAGTCCAGATCGTTGTTGTTGGAATATGCCTCCCTTGGGTTCTTTGACACATAAGGCGTCAATAACTCTTCCAAGCTTTGCATCCAAGCTAACCTCGAGAGCGATGTGGGGGTTGTGTCTGAAGTTTGACCGTTAAAATTGACAGTCTTGAGAACCTGAAATAACACCCCAGCTCTGTGAGGATATGGAATTGCTGTCTCTGAGTAATCATTCATCCTTCCACCAAACGGATACATCATCAAAAGCGCTGATTCGTCGTTTTCCATAAACTTATTCCAGATCTTTTTGAGCCCAGTTATGGGGATAGGTGTCCGAACATAGTCTGATTTAACTTTATTGTTCAGCTTGGTTATGGCAGATCGGTTTGTCAGAATCTCGACTGGGGTGGAGATTGGCAAGCCCCAAAACACAACTATCGACCGGACGCTAGGCATTTCTTCACAAATCTCTCGTGTGATACCGAGCTCTGGAAACTTTTTATCCAACAATGGAAGCAATGCGTCGATTGTTCCCTGATAAACTCCTTCAAACAAAATTCGGATGGTTTTCTTGGTACTGTTGCCTATATATTCGCTAAGCACCTGAGTTCTTATAAGCAAGTTTCTATCGATAGTTGGCCCAACATATTGATATTTATAAAAAAATTTAGTTAAACCTTCTTCCAAAGTTTTGTTTATTTGAAAAACAGTTACCGTTGGTGGAACCGGAACCAACCTCAGCTTCCAAGCAAGAACAATTCCAAAACTAGAAGAACCACCTCCTCGAATAGCCCAAAACAAATCTTCACCCATCAACTTCCTGTCAAGAATGTTTCCATTGACATCCACGAAGCGAACATCCACAGCATTATCAGCAGCAGCACCGTATTTCCTCAACAGGTTTCCATAGCCACCACCACCCATGTACCCGCCTACACCCACCGTGGGGCAAGTGCCTCCAGGGAAGAACAAGGTGTCGGTTTTCTGAGAAATAGCGTAATAGAGTTCACCAAGCGTAGCGCCTGTCTGGACCCATGCAGTACTGTTTGCCACGTCCACATCTATAGACCTCATGTTGGTGAAATCAAGCATAACAAATGGCACATCAGCGCTGTATGAGAGGGCCTCATAGTCATGGCCCCCACTCCTGATCCTGATCTCATAGCCATGTTTCTTGGCACAGTATAGAGCCGTTTGGATGAGTGTTTCATTCACAGGTGTCACGATGACTGATGGTTTTGGAGTGGAAGGTTTAAGGAACCTAGTGTTTTGGATTGCAACTTCCCAAACGGGTAGGAAAGAAGCATTGGCAGGTGTAACAATGAGTTGAGAGTCAGAAGCGAAGTTCTTGGAGTTGAATTCTAGGCAGATGATGAAATCTTCAGAACCTGGTGTAACTTCAAGAATGGAAGATAAGGCACCCCAGGAAACAGAAAAGGAAAGAGTTAAAACAAGGACGAAGACAGATGAATTTAGAAGAGATATCTTCATGTTTTGGTGAGTTTGATTTATGTCCATCCCTGCCTAATTTATACAGAGTAGCAAAATTGGGGTTGTTCTCGTTTTGCTTTCTTGGTAAATATAGCAGCAGTTAAGTCTTCAAGGTTATCCTAAAATGTGGGGTCTCATTCGCCAAAAGTATACCTTTTCTCTTTCTTGTTCAGATGCCACAAATAAACCCTTCTGTTTCTTTCAGCCCTTTTTTGTCTTTTGACTGCCGCCAAAACCTAAAAGAAGAAAAGGTTAAACCGTTTTCTTCCTTTTTGTTATCATCTCGGTCAAAAGCCCCAAAAAGTAGGGTGTCATAAAAAAAACCAAAAACCAAATAAGCTAGATTTTGTTATTAGGTTCGGTTATCAAAAAGAAAAAATGATAAAAATAGCCAATTATACTAATTACATTACAAAAATAGTAAAAAAAAAAAAAATTTGAAATTACAAAAATAGCCCTCAATTTCGCAGATGGAATTGCCCCATCGGCGAAATGACCATTCCATCTGCGAATGTACAAGCTGCTAAAGCACAGTTGTGCTTTAACAGCTTGTACATTCGCAAGTGTTTTTTTTTATTTTTTTCCTATATATATATATATATATATATATATATATATATATATATATATATATATATATATATATATATATATATATATATATATATATATATATATATATATATATATATATATATATATATATATATATATATATATATATATAGAGAGAGAGAGAGAGAGAGAGTCAAGATCAAATAAAAAGGAAATTTTTGGTAGGAAGGTAAGAAGTTTTTTTTCTACATATTTTTTTCGCGAACAAACAAAATGAATCATTAGGTGATTCATTTGTAAGATGATTCACAAGAAAAAATTCTCAAAAAAACATCTCGATGATTCATTTATATAATGATTTTGTTGTTATTCACTAAAATTGTTATAAAAGTAAAAATTTACTTAATTTACTTAAAAATGAATCATAAAGATGTTTTTTTGAGAATTTTTTCTTGTGAATCATCTTAAAAATGAATCAACTAGTGATTCATTTTTTTTGTTCGTCAAAAAAATATGTAGAAAAAAAACTTCTTACCTTCCTACCAAAAAAAAAACTTCTTACCGGATCTATATCCTATATATATATATATATATATATATATATTATATATATATATATATATATATATATATATATATATATATATATATATATATTGAAGATGTAGGGTAAAATCGCAGATGGAATAACCCCATCTGCGATTTACTCTCATTCCATCTGCGAAATTGTTTTTTTTTTAGTTTGATTATGAAATCAATTGGTTTGAGTACGAAATCATGTTGTTATATAAAAAGTTTTGTAGACACGCACGTAAAGTGCCAATACTTATGTTGATCGATTTTTTTCGTGCTACAATGCAACAATGGTGGTTTCAAAGACGTAACTTTGCAGGTATTAATTTCATAGTCAAACTAGAAAAAAAAATCACAATTTCGCAGATGGAATGAGAGTAAATCGCAGATGGGGCTATTCCATCTGCAATTTTACCCTACATTTTCAATATATATACAGAAAAAAAAAACACCTGCGGATGTACAAGCTGCTAAAGCACAGTTGTGCTTTAGCAGCTTGTACATTCGCAGATGGAATGGTCATTTCGCAGATGGGGTAATTCCATCTGCGAAATTGAGGGCTATTTTTGCAATTTCGATTTTTTTTTTGCTATTTTTGTAATGTAATTAGTATAATTGGTTATTTTTATCATTTTCTCAAATAAAAATAATCTTATTCGGTTTAGACTAATTTTTCCTAATTAGGCCCAACTATGAGAATATCAAAGGAAATTGAATAATTTAACCTTTATAAATGATATTTTTAACAAAGATGATCCATTTTCTTTTTTTGTAAAGTAACCATATTCTTCGGAACACATTGTTCATAAGAGGTCTCTGAAATTTCGGAATACGATTCTAGACCATGGTTCCGGAATAAGTTTTACTTTTTTTTTTCTACGTGTAACATATGTTTTTTCTTTTAGTATAAGTTTTGGTTTTATATAATGTATATGTTTTGCTTTTATAAAATATATAATTTTCGGTTTTATAAAATATAAAATGCAATTAAAATCAAAAAACAACTAATAAATACATAAACTAAATAAATGTTGTGTTTGTATGTCATAATACAAATATGTTGTTTAAATTATTTTTGTTCTTGTACCCCAAAAAAAATTTGCTAGTCGTTTTCAATAACCCATAGCCCATGAACTGGTTTTACCCTCTATAGAAATCGATTTCCCTACGATCAATGCCTCTAGGAACCAACAAAAAAACACCCTACAATCCTTTCTATTGCCAATCTGTTGTGGTACGTATGGGGCCTTTTTGAGGGTCATCTTGAAGCTCTCAGGTGGGATTGAATCAGTTGGTTCGGTACCCCAATAGTTGACTCCCACTAGCATTTTGTGGATGCGGGCTCTCATACCTATAAACTAATCATCATTTTTCGAAGAGCAACTTCCCTTTCAATGACTGTCATATATAGTCATTTTGAATGTCTTCGAATCCAAAGAACCCAAAAACCAATGAGCATGTGCTATATTTGATTAGGATCTAAAGCTACAAAAAAAAATATTAGAAACAGTTAATTAGAATATAAATACTAAGGTAATGTAATCCAAAAAAAAAATTATAATGTATCACACTTTGTCCAAGATGGGTAAAGGGATCCATCAGCCATGTCACTCTAGTCAAACGTATAAGTGATGAAAGATGACGGCACAACCGTTGATCGAGCATCATCCGCTCTATGCTCTCGTAGCAAAGAGATCTACATCATGATGTGTTGCTAATTAATTTTTTTTGCAGTAAAGTAAGTATTGTTATTAGAAGCATAGTATGTAATGAGCAAATTCTTATATTACTTACATCACATGATAACCGTCATCCATGACTATCCGCATATAACCGTGTCCAAAACTTAATCGTAGCACAACCGGTCATATAATTGTGACCAAACAGTAACAAACCACCCCGTTCTTTATTTACATTGTGTACAGTAGGCTCTAAAAGATTGTTCAATAGTGTTGGTTGTTTCCGTGTAACACCTTTCGTCTTCATTTGTATCCATGTCGACTTATACCTTATGGACATAACTTTTAGGCGCTTAGAAAGCCTAAGAGGTGTTGGCGATGGTGTTTTGTATTCATCCCACGAAATATCTTTTATATCCGACGAGTGAATAACTAGAGAATCTCCAGGAGTCTTATTGATAAGTTTTATAGCCATGGCTAAAGTAGTCTCATGCTCTGCTAAACGCTCATCCTGCTAAAGGCTCATCCTGAGACCTCAACTGCTCGCGACATTCACAGACCTCATTTTTCAATTGAAACACCTCGTTTTGCAAGTCACTAATAATTTGGTCCTTGCCCGTTTGTAACGACCCAAAATTTAGGACCAAAAATTTCTTTTAATAAAACATTACTTAAAGCAAGTTATCATTCCAAAACATAATATAACTATAAGTTTTCAAAACACATGTTCATTATCAGAGTAAACGTTCCCAGGTTGTCTAATCTATGGTGTGTGCCATGCGATCACCCCGAGCTCTTTCCTCCGCTACCGGAAGTACCTGAAACCAAAACTGAAAACCGTAAGCACGAAGCTTAGTGAGTTCTCCACCCTACCACATACCATGCATAACCACATACTGCACATACTGGGCCACGCCCGCTATCTTGGGCCTCGCCCCCTACCTCGGGCCTCGCCCGCTACAACGACCCCGCCGCTCCAGGCCCCGCCTGGCTTCGAGCCCCGCTTGGATACAAATCTGTTTTACTTAGGCCCCGCCTGTCACAGAGCCTCGCCCGCCAACAATTAATATCACATAAACATATCACAACACATAACTAAACACACACAATTAGTTCTGTCCTAAGGCCTCGCCTATCCTGGGCCTCGCCTATGTACTGCTACTGATGAGTCACGGAACCCCGTCCACACTCCTAGTGGTAGTGAGATACGGGCCCAGCCCACCCTCACTCCTTCACTAACTTGGGCATCGCCCCTGTTATGCGACTATTGAGATGTGGAACCCCATCTACACTCTGCTATTAGTGAGATACGGGACCTCTCCCACACTCACCTCCCTACCAGGCACATACATGTATCACACAGATAACAAGTATAAACTATCATATAAACAAATCCTTGGGCACCCGCCCGCTATTACTGGACCTCGTCCTGAAAATAATACTACCATATTGTGCCTAGGGCTAACCCCCGGGTCTTCTACTCATAACTACATGGGTCGGCATTGTGGCCTTAGACCCATTCACACAAAGGGAAACTCACCTGCACTGACTGAACTTGTTGATGATCTCACTAGCTGCTGCCCGACAACTCACTGAACTCCTGCACCCCGAACTACCAATATTAATGCAACACTGAGTCTAACTGACCCCCGAAAGACAACCAAGTCAACCCTGGTCAAGGTCAAAGTCTTGGTCAAAGTCAACCTTCCAGGTCAACCCTACTCGCCGAGTTCAAAATGATCAGATTCCTTCCATTCGTGACTCGACTCGCTGAGTCAGTCCATGACTCGCCGAGTCTGCCGATTTCTGAGTCCTGGCCTGTCCAACTCACCGAGTCTCCACCCGACTCACTGATTCGAGTCTCAACTCGAAGGGTTTGGGGGGTTTCGCGACCTGACTCGCCGAGTCCAAGAATAGACTCGCCGAGTACAAGGCAATCTTTATATGACTCGACGAGTTGTTCATCCCACTCGTCGAGTTTCTCCACAACTTCATGCTACTCGCCGAGTCCACTCAAAGGACTTGCCGAGTCCATTCATATCTCCTTACATGCAGAGGACTTTTGAGTCATGCATGAACTCCAAACTATAGATCTACCCTTCCCAAGCCTATTCCCCACATAAAGTTGCAAACTTTACGTGTAGAGAAGGAGATCTAGGCAAAATATGCTATAAACTAGGGTTTAAGGCAAAG